AATTATTTTTAAAAAATATTAGAGGTTTCAGGGTTTCAAATGAACACTTTTTTTATTTTGTCCAAACTAATAGTCATAGAAATAAAAATGCTAGAAAGTTAATATTCGTGTTCGGTTACATGTGTGAACCACTGTATATACCATTCAATTTGTCTAATCTAGGCACACTGGAGACCGAGATATCATTTTTTAGCGATCAATTTCTATATAATGAAAATTTGATCGACATATATGAATCGGACACTTTAGGACATAATATCTCGACGTCTAGTGATCCAAATTGATTGAAAATACACCATTTGATTTGCCTAGATTAGACAAATCGAATGGTAGTATTTTCGCTCAAATTGGATCACTAAACGTCGAGATATTAGGTCCCAAATGACCGATTTATTATATTTGGGGCATGAACATACAATGGGTACCCTTAGGGGAGTGACAGATATTACGTAATTTCTTAAGGGGGGGTTTGAAAAATCTTACGTTCATATTAAAAAAAATTTTTCTATATTAAATAATCTTACCTAGAGGGGAGGAGGGGTAGAGGTATAATAAAATTATATTACGTAATATCTGTGACTCCCCTTATGTCAAGCAAAAAACGGGGCATTCCGGTATTAGAAGATCTGCACTCTCTGATCGTCAACCAATAGGAGTGCACACATTTTTGATCAGCCCGGCAAAACAAGAAAATGAAAATTGTGAAAAACACAGCTCAAATCTAGCTTGATACACTAATAAAAATGTCGGTGAGGTAATTTTATATATAACTTTGTTCTCCACTCTAACCCTAACCCCAATCTTATAGTGTTAAAATATAGTATTTCCGGATCGGAGGTAGTTCGGAGGCCGTTTTTGCTTGACATAAGGCAGTGTTGTACATTTTGGATGTCCAAGTGTCCAAACTCTTGTACTATTAAAATTAAATAAAAAAATATGAATATATACAACGAGAAATTCTAAATATTTTTAATTAGTGTCCAAACAGGTTATTTTAATAAAATTTTGAGTAAATTTGATTTTTTTTTTGTCAAAAATGTCCAAGATTGTCCAAGGCAAAGCTGTCCCGTGACAACACTGACATAAGGGTATTCACATATCTGCCGATCTAAAATTGGTTCATTATACATGATCTACGTGATCTACGGAAAGTTGTGGAGTAGGTTACTTCTGTATCATTTCGGGTTAAAATTCCTTTTTTTGGTGATCAACCCGAAATGATTTTTTCGGTTTGAGTTGGACCGGTCTCGAACATTCGGAACACTACGTTTGGTACTTTACGAAATCAACTGACAATAATTCCTAGCAATCTCACTAACACTGTCCAAGAATAATAATAAGCAGTAATTTGCGTAAACAAGTTCATGTTACCATTTTATTAATTCGTCACACGAGAGAAATTAAACGATAATAATGTCCATAACAAATTTAATTCGGTATACGTATTATTTATTCACTTACAGATAATGATGAATTAATATCGATATATACGTACGTATGTATGATAGAATATAGTGAAGAAATTCAAATCTTCGCTTGTTTTGTGACTTAATTTCTTATCAAATTTTAGATCAAATCTTTCGATTACAATTTGTTAAGTTATGAGGTTGGTTTACCGTTCATAGAATCCTATTATCAAAGGCTAATTGCTCACTAAGCACAGCTCTTTTAAGCATTATTTACTGCTAACTTTAACAATATCGATTTTAATTGCGGTAGCGGAGAATTCATTATCATTGCTGGTGTGTTGAGTGTGTTGAGTGTGATGATTACCTGAAAGTGGGACGAGTTTTTGCGATTCGAATGATGAGGTGTTATAATTTGGTATCCAACCCTCATTCATTATATATGCTAATGCATTTCCGATTCCACCGAAACTTAAGCCTTTTGATAAAATGATGATAAGTTAAAATATAGAAGAATATTGATAAATCTTTATGGAACACTCACCAATGACGCCTACATAATAAACCCATGTTTCTGTTTCGGCTTGCTATAAACAAGTGAAAAATACTTGAAAAAGAATTCAAAAATTCAGAAAAACAAGTTTATCAATAAAATCATTACCTCGATTAAAGCGGCAAGTGCATACACAACAATGGGAAGCTACGTAATATAAAGAGACAAGGTAAGCTTCAAATCAAACGTTGAATTCGGCCATACAAATTCTCACTCATAAAACTCGCTTACCCATTGAAAATTAAAGAAGAGAACATAAGCTATGATTTTTCTCGTTACTCTTTCCTCAATCCGGTTCATCATATGACTTTGAGAAGCAGAGAGTGTGCCTTTTTTCAATTCTCGACGATTGCGTACGAGTGCTCGCAAAATTGCCACGTAGCAAAATAGCGCGACCATTGCGACGAAAGAGATTTCAACTATTGGCATGATTAATGATAGTCGTGCGTTGAATTTGTTTGCACACCTGAATGCAATAATATGTAGATATGTGATGATGTTTTCTTGAATTTCTTGATATCTCAAATTTTAACTAACCAATATTTTTGAGCACCATATCCATCTCGGGAAACAATTGTAAGCGTGATTGTAGTAAAACAACAACTAAATAAAAGAAGTTTATAGTCGAATCGACCAAGCTCTATGGATTTGTGTTGACACACTGAAGGAAAAGGTTAAAGAAAAAGTAAATGGGGATAGACGCATATTAAATTTATTTCAAATTCAAAGGTTATTATTTATTTACCTCTTAAATAAGTTATAATAGAGATTCCAAGAAACATGAATTGATTTAGAAAACTCAAAATCGCAGTAGCCCATCCAATGGCAGCACATGGCACTTCTGGCAGTGTCTTCGAATGAAAAAATGTATAGGCCTATTGTTCATTTAGAGAAAAATTTGACATATAGTTTAATATTTATTTATGCAATTGAATGGAGATAAAATAGAAATCATAATCACCGCGTTAATAACATTCAATCCTGCAGTCAAAAAATCTGGGACAAACAGAAAAGTTAATCATTGGTTGTTGCTTCTTCTATTGTTCAACTATTTTCTTTTATTACCTGTTGACGCGGCATATAATGGCAATCGATGTGACATTGCTAAAGATCCATACTCTCTCGCTCGCCAATATAGAAATGTTCTATAATATACGTAGGCAGATCCTAACAGGTTTAATGATTGAAAGGCGACTGATGTGAGAGTTACCGAATAAAATTCGGTATCTCTTGGAAGTTTGAAATCGGTCATATTTTATGATTCTTAGTTAAGAGACTGAAAGGGTGATTATTGCTATTGTTAAGGAGCGTGATGTTTTTTATTGAGTTTGGTCTTTTCTCCTTCGAATACTTTATTCATTTATAACTTCGATCAAAAAAAAGCATTGACCAACCCTGTAGCGTTTGGGCGTGGTGCTACCTACAGTTAATTGATCTAACCATTCCGGATTTGCATTTTGCATTTGTATAATTTACGTTTTAGGATAGAAAATTATTAAGCTTTCGGCTCTTGAGTAATCAAACGCATTTATGCTTCTCATTTCCTTTTCATTCCTCCAATAAGATTAATCATTGATACCAGTACAATTACAGTACATAGTATCGCATAACCATTCCAAGTTAATAATAGTTTACCTTTTCAGAAACATTATTAATTAAATTCTAATCAAGGTAAATGTTGGGATCTCGTCAAGCTCAAATACTCTCTCCAGACGTAGTGGTAGGATTCACTTCTACCTGCACCGGATCCTTGAAAACCAATGGTTAATTCTTACCGCAATGAATAAGCTTAAAGCTGTTCAATTTCAAGTGCATTAAGACATTGTAATTACCACAGTCAATGGAATCCGGATCGTTATCGTTGTTAATAGAATTTTTCCTCGACACATATTGCTCATTTATTAGGTAATGTACTAATAGAATTTTTCCTCGAAACATGTTACAGTCAACTCTCGATATAATGACCATGCAGATTCTATTGAATTTATATTGTTTACAATAGGATCTGCATGGTCGTTATATTAGGTAAAGTAAAAAAGAGTTTCGCATAGCATTCAATCAGCATATATTTGGCACTTAGTATCTTCCGGAATAAGCACCGACAAATAGCCGATCGCTATAGTTGTGTAGATAATTGTGTGGAGTTACTGTTACATGACTCCAATCCTGATGCCAGCCATTCGATATGTCCCTTAAATTATGCACCAATCATCAAATGTGCAACGCAAGAATTCAAAAATACGTAAATGTTTATTTTGCTTATGAACTATCTTTTGTGCTCTAATAAAAAATGTTGACAAATTTTGCTATATACATGTATTTACACATAATCCTATTCTAATTCTACATCTAACCGAATCTTCAATAAATATTATAATAATTAACCATATTTTTAATTAACACATGCATGATTTTAAGGGGTATATCGGGTGACAGAACTTTTTTTTTGATCTGTGTATTCAAAATAATATATTAAGATAAAAATGACACGTTACCACATCCACAATATTCAAATTGCCAATAAAATCTATTACTCGTGAATAAATTCGAAAAATGAATTCCACAACCGATTTAACTCCAACCAAAGTTGACTATATGGGTAATATGTGTCTATATTGGAAGTTGATCATCGATGTAATAATTACCATTCTCCTGATGAAAAATATAACAAGTTCCGCTAACATCCAATGAATGTAAACAGATTAAATTTTGCATTTATCGTTATAGTCAAACGGCCCGGTATATAACGAATCTTCGGAACCGTCATATAACATATATTCGTATAATGAATTCTCAGAACTATAGAGATTTGAATGTAGTTGGTGTTTTTACTACTACTATAATTATCAATTGGTCCTGCAAAAGCATAACCGCCAAGACTTGTTTACATAATTATCGTGTTGAATTTAAAGCATTCGAATTAAAAGTCAAGTCGAATCGGTCGAAATAATTTTTGCTTGAAAATAGAAAATGCATTCAAGGACTATTATTTAATGTGCAATTTTATTGGCTCTGTGTAGAAACTAATGTATGCATGCGGTTGTAGCATATTTTTTTTCGAAAAGTTTAAATCCTTTAACGTTAAGAGTAACTTAAATTCAACACCAACAAATGGGGTTGATCCAATTTTCAAGTGATCAAATCATAAATGTGTTAGCGCCAAACCAATAAGAATGCACAAATTTTTGATCAGACCAAATACGGAGAATGAATTTTCAGAGCTAATAAAAATGTCGGGAAGAAATTTTACATATAACCTTACTCTCCCCCCTAATTCTATAATCAACTTTTGGGTAATTATGGCTGTGCCACCAACCTGGCACACATTCAAGTGGTGCGGTGTGTCCGCTGCAACCCGGCACGCGATAATAATTAAATATTAATTTAGGATTAGTGTTAAGGGCAGAATTAGAGTGAGAGCTAATGCTATATGTAAAATTTCCTCCCCGACGTTTTTTATTAGTGCTCCAAGTTAGATTTAGGCATATTTCGCATTTTTCAAAAATTTACACATCCTTATTATTGGTTTGTGTTACTGCGGGTAGGGACTCTGTCCGACTTGACTTCAGTCCGGTTTGACCTATATATAGTGGCCTGCAAAAATAACGCACCACTTACATTGCTAATCGTTGATCACTTGATTTTCACTCGCATGCAACCCGATGAACGCAAAAATAATATCTAATACTGTGCTACAAATGGTAAATAAACAGACAGTTCGTCTATAATCCATGTCGATCCTCCAAAGTGGCGGTGCGTTTTTTTTGCCGTTTTTATCAAGAATGTAAAAAATATGCTTCAACTTTTTTTTGAACATATAAAATCAAAAAAAGTTTTATAATAAAAAAGATTCCTTAGCATGTATTCTATTAGAATTAACTATTTTTTTTAAAAGTTTCAAATATAATGACTGATAAAAAGTATGAGAATATTCATTAATTATTAATAATTCAAATCTTTATAAAAACTTGAAAATAACTAGAATAAAACCTGAAAAATAATATTTTATCATTAAAATTATATGTTAAAACTTAATGTTATACATGTAGAATAATTTTTTATTAATAATTTAAACCTGTAAAATAATTATTTATATTTTAAAATACAACAAAATTTTTTATTATATTATAGAATTTAACATTATAAACAAGTTTAATCATCATATAAAGATTTTTATATTAATTTTACTTATTAATTATTAATAATAATTTTTTGAGTATTTTACTAAGTATTCTCATACTTTTTATCAGTCATTATATTTAAAACCTTAAAAAAAATAGTTAATTCTAATAGAATACATGCTAAGGAATCTTTTTTATTATAAAACTTTTTTTTGATTCTATATGTTCAAAAAAAAAGTTGAAGCATATTTTTTACATTCTTGATAAAAACGGCAAAAAAAACGCACCACCACTTTGGCGGATCGACATGGATTATAGACGAACTGTCTGTTTATTTACCATTTGTAGCACAGTATTAGATATTATTTTTGCGTTTATCGGGTTGCATGTGAGTGAAAATCAGGTGATCAACGATTAGCAATGTAAGTGGTGCGTTATTTTTGCAGGCCATTGTATATAATAATGATCGGTTCGGTTCAGTCCTATGCTTGAGTCAAACACTAATGGCAAAAATTTCAGACAGGATTTGAATTTCTGTTGGGTGAAACATAATACATGTAATAAACATTCATGTAAATTATGTAAGTATAGCTTATGCGATGCATGCAATCGTATTACGTATTGCCGCAATTTACCGTTACTGCCAAGATATTCAGGGTCTTATTTCACGTACAAAGTTAATTTGTAAAATTTTGGGAATGAGTACTTTAGCAAGAGACATTAAAGTGTCTTTTCTATACTATATTTTGCATTTTCATTATATTGAATACCGACAATAAAAAGATAATAATTCAAAAATCCTCGAGGATACGGTTTAAAAATGAATTGTAAATGTTCACCATTCACACATATTTACTAAAAAAGTAGTTTTCCCGAGTCTAATTATTTTAAACGCAGAATATTGTGAACAAATAAAAATTAGATAATCATTACCACATTTTCTACTGTATTTGGTAAGCCAACTTAAATGTCAGATGTTATTTTCAAATGTTAATATTTGCAGACAACTTGTTCAGCGAAATTATTAAGAATAAACAGCAAATACGATAGCAAACTTGTTTGGTGAAACTGATAAATTAGAGATAGGCCGGCCGGTGCGTTTCTTGTATGTTGCTAATTTCCGATAAAAGCTTATAAATTTGATTTGTGGCTTTCTTTTACATGTACATATTAAGTTGTTCATTTACAGTCTTTTCAGTCTTTAGTAAAGTATTAATCTATAACCGTCATACATAGCAAATGGATTTCTTTTTTGTATTCCTGCACACAAGTTCAGTCCGCACGGAAAGAAAAATTTTTACCATATAATTGGTCTCCTTCTAAAAAAAACTGGTGTGAAAAAATACATGGCACTTCTATGAAGGCTATATGTGATACAGAGTCGATCATGAAGGACATCCCGATTGCGCGAAATTTTACTGAGCTAACGAGTCTTCGCCATTAAGAAAAAAGTGTTTGGCTTAAAGACTTGTATTAAAAACTATATATACTATTTTTATAAAATAAAAATTGTTAAGAGCAAATTGAAATGAAATTACTAGAAATAGTTCTTATAATTTTTTGACACGTCAAATGGCATTCAATCCTGCGTTGACATAAATTTATCATGTATTGATTTCTAAGATGATGCCCTACTTAAAGACATTCTAGAAATAAATTTTTGTGTAATTGTTCTTTAAAAACTCTCTTCTTTAAAAAACTAACCCCATTACTTTTCGTGGGAAGTGTCTTTTATCGGATGATTTCCATTTATTATGAGACTTTCCCCCAACTCACTTGACATATAAAATATTACAAGGATATATATTTATATTATATAATCTGATATTCGCTCCGACCCCCAAAAATCAAGTGATAAAAGATACCTCCCTAACGGGATAAGAGATTGCATATTGTCTACTAAATCATTCTTTATCTAAGAGCTGCTCGTTATATTTTGAACAAACTTTTCCAGAATTTGACTGCTTTGTAATTCTCAAATTTTTGGAGCCTAATATTTGTTTGCATATCTATACTGTATAAAAGATGTGCATTTTTTGTCTTAATCAAAAAATGCTTAACTTAAATAAGTTGTAAAAAAGTTATAACCAACGAGTTAGTATGTTATGATAACGTTAATAGTTATAATGCC